CTACTAGTCCAACCACTGATGCAGGGGTCCGGAGACCAGTCAGCAAGAGTACAAACAAGCCTAAAGCAAGTCAGTGCGGCACTACTAGTCCACCCACTGGAGGTAAGGCCACAACGCCAGTCAGACAAATATATATAGTAGCGAGTTGGCCTTAGCAAATGAGAAGCTACAGGATTAAGACCAAGCTGTAGACAGTGCCGCTGATGATCTTTAGGCGCAAGCGCCTTAGTAAAGATATCAGCTGTGTTGGCACCGGAGGCCAAGTGAACTACACGGGCCTGGCGACGCTGCTGTAGCTCGCGCAGGAGGAAGTACCACAGCTGGATATGCTTCGCTCTGCCCTCAAGCCGAGGCTCCTGACACAGGAGGATCATGGCCCTGTTGTCAGCGTACAGGACCAGGGCAGAGCTAGGCCGCTCACCTAAGTCAGTGAGCAAGAAGGTCAACCAGCGGAGCTCTTGTGCCACCATGGCACCAGCGTAGATCTCAGCCTCACAGCTGGACTGAGCAACAGACGACGAGCGAGTGGATCTCCAAGAGATAGCACCCGAACCAAGGCTAAAGCAGTAGCCCTGAGACGACCTGAGAGTCTCAGAGTCATCTGCCCAAGAAGCGTCTGTGTGCCCAGTGAGGACCACCGGCCCGTATCCTCCTAGCACTAACCCCATGCCCGATGTACTTGCTAAATATCGCAAAACCCTCTTAGCGGCCGACCAGTGCTGTGGCCGGTGTCTGCCAGTGGCCACAAAGAGAGCCAGGATGCTGAGAGGGTATGCAAGATCTGGGCGAGTGCAAGTCATCAGGTACATGAGGGTCCACTAGGCTCTACTGGCTCTGCGTAGGGTCCACTGGGCTCTACTAGCTCCTCAGGAAATGGAGCAGAGAGCCCATGGTCTACAGGTAGAGGTGTGGGCTGTGTGGACCAGAAATGAAGACCGAACCTCTGAAGGACCTGACGCACCAAGAGTGACTGTGTCAGAGTGATGGTGCATGCTGCTATGTCCCTGGAGATCTGCAGGCCAAGATAGCGCAAGGCTCTCCAAGGTCAGTGCAGGTGTGTCTCTTCAGCAGCTCGGCCTTCACGGAGGCCACTGCGTCCCTGTCAGCAGTAGCAAAGACAAGGTCGTCTACGTAGACAAGGATGTAGAACGGAGTCTGGCCAGAACGCACAAACAGCGAGGGGTCAGCAGAGGACAGAAAGAATTGCAGGTCTGCTAACGTGGCACGCAGCGTTTCGTGCCACTCGCGAGGAGCCTGACACAGGCCGTAGACCGGGCGCCGGAGAAGCCACTGGGTCCCAGGGGGGGAAGGTACCAGTGAAGCCCTGAGGTCGACGCAGGTAGACCTGCTCATGTAGGCTGCCCTGAAGAAAGGCAGTAGAGAAGTCGAGGGAGTGAAGCTCGTAGTCGCGCTATGCTGCTACATGTAGCAGCGCCCAAAGAGTGGTCATCTTCGGAATAGGGGCGAAGGTCTGGAAGAATTCAACCCCCTCGTGCTGGCTGAAGCCTCTGGCCATGTAGCGCGCCTTGAAGACAGGCGGCTCTCCAGGGGAGCGCTTCACCTTGAAGAGCCACCGACCATCGACTACGTTCACCCCAAGCGGGGGAACTGCGTTGACGTAAGTGCCGGTGGACCTCCAAGATGCCATCTCCTGCTCCATGGCAGCTATCCACTGAGAGGCCCAGGGTCTCGAGGTGGCCTCAGCGTAGGTGCGAGGGGTTGGAATGTCGAAGGCGTCTGGGTCATCCTCTGGGACTAGGAGCATGGAGTAGAGATAGGGAGCGGCCTCGGAAAGGAAAGCAAGCTCGTACTCCTTGTCCTCTAGAACGTCACTGCCAAGGATAGGTGCACCCCCGACGGACGCAGGACGGGCAGGGTCAGAGACCAGAGCGGTAGCGTAGTCAAGGCGGCGGGTAGAGGCGAAGACAGTGACAGCAGCGACAAGGGCATCAAGGCGAGAGACAGGAACAAACGCGTCTGTAACAAGAGAGGCAAGGACCCGAGGGACAAGGGGACGAGCGACACGGATGTAGTCAGACAGCGGGGGAGGTGCAACAACAAGAGACGAGGGAGGAGGCGAGGGGAGGAGGGGAGGACGAGACGAGTGAGAACGGAGTAACATAGGGTGGGAGCGCGGGACAGGGGAGACGGGACGAGCATGTGAGGGACAGCAAGACCAAACGTGGGAAGGAGGTGTAGGGTCAGGAGACAGCAGAGGGGACAAAAGAGAGGAACGAGGAGGAAGACGAGCCGGAGAAGAGTCCGGGGGCGTAAACAGAGGGCCGTAGACAGGAAGGTGAGGAGGAGGTGGGGGAGACACCGGCGAGCGGTTAGGGGAGGGAAGGCCGAGTAGTCGAAGAGCGGAGACCGGCGGCGACGACTGCGACGGCTGCAGCGGCGGCTGGTGCTCGACCCTCGAACCGGCAGGGGCACGACGACCTCCAAGAGAACACTCAACAGCAGCACCCGCAGAACCAACACCCTCAGAACGAGAACCCTCCCCAGCCCCAGCGGCACCCCCGGGCCCACAGGGACAGACCACGCGAGGAGCCGCAGGACGAACACCCTTCTCAGCGCCAGCACCCCCAGAGGCCAAGAGTGGCAGCGGCGGCGGCGGCGGCGACGGCTGCGACGGCGGCTGCGACGGCGGCGGCGGCGGCGACGGCGACGACGGCGGCGATTGCGACAGCGGGGGCGGAGACACCAGGGAAGGGGGACGCGGCAAGGGCGGGGCGGGGGAACCACTACAGTCAGCAGACTCCTCAACAGGAACAATTGACGGGAGGGGAGTGACATGGGAGACACCAGACGGGGCAGGACGCGGCGGGAGGGGAGGAGGGGTCTACCGGGGGAGAGGGGGCAAGGAACAGAGGGGGGGGAAACGGGAGACCTCGGTGAGGGAAGCGACGGTAGAAGGAGACGGACTCGTCAAAGGTGACGTCACGAGAGTGGAGGAAGCGGTGAGACTGCGGGTAGTAGAAGAGCCAGTCAGACGAGTCCAGGGGGAAACCAAGAAAGGCACAGGGGACAGTGCAGGCAGTGAGCTTATCCGTGCCAGAGGCACGAACGTGAGCAAGGCAGCCCCAGACATGGAATGCAGACGCGTCACCGGGGGACCCGGTCCAAAGGAGGGTCGGCGAAACCTGCGGCCACAGGTTAAGCTGGTGAGCGGCGTAGCGAACAGCGAACTGCCACAAAAAATGGGGTGCACCGGCATGGATCATGGAGGTACGCTTCACCTCCATGCCCAAGCCGATGCGGCGCTCAGCAACCCCATTCTGCTGTGGCGAGTCCGGCAAGGTGTACGACTGGGTGATGCCCTCCGTACGACAGAACTGTCGAAGCCGACTTGAAGTGAACTCTCCGCCACGGTCAGAGTGGAGACACAACACGGGAAGACCGCGGTGAAGACGCGCAGCCACAACCCACGGGAGAAGAACGTCGAGCACGTCGGCCTTCCGCTCCAGGGGAAACACCGTGGTGTAGCGCGTGTAGTCGTCGACGAGCACAAGAAAGTAGCGCTCGCCACGCGGTCCGAAGACGGGGGCTGGGCCCCAAACGTCCAGGTGTAGGGTCTGAAGGGGAGCAGTGGCAGGGCGAAGCGAGGAGGAGTGAGGGGCACGGCGGAGCCGGCCCTCGACGCAGGGCGTGCACGGTGGAGCAGGCGAGAGGGGAAGGGCGGGGAGCGATGCCGGGAGGCCTAAGACAAGACCGTGCTGGGACATGTGACGCAGATGCGGGAGTGCAGGGTGACCTAGGCGGTGGTGCCACAAAAGGGACGGGTGAGTGAGAGACCGACACGAGCAAGCTGCAGCGATCTAGGAGGACGCACCAACCGGGGGGGAAGCGGTGTCTAGGGTGAACAGTCCGGACACCGGGTCCCGGGGGAACGTAGCAAGTGGGGAACCGGAGACAGCCTCAGAATAGACAGCGAAACGCACGTGCCCGGAGAACGTAGTGGTGACGCCAAGGCCCTGAAGACAGCTGACACCTACCAGGTTCCTCGAGAACGAGGGAACGTGGAGGCCTATAAGAGAGCCCGAGGAAACTGCTGGACAGGGAAGGGACGTGAAACTGCGAGCGACGACGGGACCCGCAGAGGGGTCAGCGAGAGAGACAACAGCAGGTGCAGCAAGCGGCGTAAGCGTGGAGCGGTCGCGGAAGAAACAGGTAGAAGCACCGGAGTCGAGAGTGAAGGACAGCGAGGCAGTGGCGGAGGCTGGGAACGAAGGCGGTGCAGAAACTAGGCTAGGCAAGCGAGGCAGTCCTACGCCTGATACAGCAGGGGAGGCTAAGCTACACAAAAGTGAGACACCTAAGCTAGAGTACACTGGGTAATAAGATCCAGCAACACTAGAAGCGTCAGCATACAAAGCATGCAAAGCAGCACCTATCTGATCCATATCTAACTCAAAGATCGGCACGCCCTGGCGAAGCAAGCTGTGCCAGTCGGGGAGGTCCGGGGCTAGGCCAAACCGACGACGAAAGAGATCGTCGAGGCGGCGGAAAAAGCGGGCGGTCGGGTGCGGGCGGCGGCATAGAGTGCCGCGGAGAGGCCCTGTCTAAAGCTGGTACTGTCAGGTCACAGCATTGGAGCTGCTGGTAGACGCCAAGCTGCGCGGGCCACCACTTCGGCCACCACCTCCGGGCTGCGAAGGCGACTGCGTCTGCTCCTGCCCACCAGTGGTAGTCTCCTCAGGTGGACTACCGTCACCACCACCACTACCACCACCACTAGTGCTACTACCACGACCTCCCTGGTGGCCACGGCCACCGCCACGCCCACGGCCACGGCCACGGCCTCCCTGGACCGCAGCAGCCGTCTCGGTAAGAGGGGTCGCAGTGGCGGATAGAAACAGCCGAATTATGTTGTACTCTAGCCTAAATTACAAAAGTGAGCCAATCTGAATAAGACTCCAGCCATAATGTGAGGGAAATCGAAGTTGGCCGAGTGCAGATCCCCAATGCCATGCGCCATGCCACTCTTGCATTGCACTCCTCACGACTTTCTATGCCTCTCCCCGATTCTCTCGTGTCACATTGATACGTACCGCGCGCTCATGCTACTCGAACTGTGCAGCCTCGCGAGCCACCTGCTCCCATCCCAGCGGCACTGAGCGCACTGCCCGTCGTTCAGCGCACCAGCGTCGCACTGTCGCACGCTCCTCGCCACCCTACCAGCTGTCGTCGTCGCCCAGCGTCGCACTCCCTCATTCTCGCTGTCGCCGCCCCGCCGCGTTTCCGGCCGTATTGCGGCGCGCCGTGCCGTGCCGTGGCAGGCGCGGCTGGCCAGGGACGCGCGACAAGGAAGGCGGAAGAGCGGGCCGCGCAGGCAGAGACAGCGTGTCACTCCGCGCGCCCGTCGCCGTGGTCCAAGCGGGGCGACGTGCACCTGCACCTCGCAGCGGCTGCCTCAGCCCTTCCTGCGAGTCCGCACGCTCGCAGGCCGCGCAGAGCGAGGGGCGCGCAGAGCGAGGGGCGCGCAGAGCGAGGGGCGCGCAGAGCGAGGGGCGCGCAGAGCGAGGGGCGCGCAGAGCGAAGGGCGCGCAGAGCGAAGGGCGCGCAGAGCGAGGGGCGCGCAGAGCGAAGGGCGCGCAGATGGAGTCGGCGGTGTTGGTGTCGTCGCGGGCGAAGCTGAAGCCCGGCGCCAAGGGTCCAGCTGTAGATGGGCTCTTTGCCATGGTGCGGCGGGCGATGCTGTGGGGCGATTTGTTTTCCCAACCGCACTCCGGCACACAAGCGATGCTCCTCGTTATCATGAAGTGGCGCATCATGACCGACAAAGTAACCTTGTGTGTGCATGCATGTGCGCGTATGTGCATGTGTATGTGCATGTATGTGCATGTATGTCCATGCATGTGCACGTATGTGCATGTGTATGTGCATGTATGTCCATGCATGTGCACGTATGTGCATGTGTATGTGCATGTATGTCCATGCATGTGCATGTGTATGTGCATGTGTATGTGCATGTATGTCCATGCATGTGCATGTATGTGCATGTGTATGTGCATGTATGTCCATGCATGTGCGCGTATGTGCATGTGTATGTGCATGTATGTCCATGCATGTGCACGTATGTGCATGTGTATGTGCATGTATGTCCATGCATGTGCATGTGTATGTGCATGTGTATGTGCATGTATGTCCATGCATGTGTATGTATGTGCATGTGTATGTGCATGTATGTCCATGCATGTGCACGTATGTGCATGTGTATGTGCATGTATGTCCATGCATGTGCATGTATGTGCATGTGTATGTGCATGTATGTCCATGCATGTGCATGCATGTGCATGGGTATGTGCATGTATGTCCATGCATGTGCATGTATGTGCATGTGTATGTGCATGTATGTCCATGCATGTGCATGTATGTGCATGTGTATGTGCATGTATGTCCATGCATGTGCATGTATGTGCATGTGTATGTGCATGTATGTCCATGCATGTGCATGTATGTGCACGTGTACATGCACATGCCTACAGACTCCCACATCCTTCTCGTGGGAGCCAACCAACCCGTCAGCAGCAGCACGACTCGATGTGCCTCTTGCCACCATCAAGTGTGAGACTCTTGATGTGCCCCTTGTCAGAGACCATGTGTGAGACTCTTGATGTGCCCCTTGTCAGAGACCATGTGTGGCTATTGCTGTGCCTTTTGGCAGCATTCAAGTGAGCATGCATGCAGACCAGAATCAGATTGCCCTTGTCGTGATCTGCCCGCCACACTGGTGTGCTGCCATGAATGAGCCCCGTGCCTTCCTGCGTGTGCCGCCATCCCCACTGCGGCCGTCCCACTGCGCCACTTGGCACTGCGGCCGTCCCTCTGCGCCACTTGGCACTGCGGCCGTCCCACTGCGCCACTTGGCACTTCGGCCATCCCTCTGCGCCACTTGGCACTGCGGCCGTCCCTCTGCGCCACTTGGCACGGCCCCGCACGTGCCATTCCTCCCCCATTACTTCCTCCCGCCCCCCTCCTGTTGTTGCATGTTCAAGCCCCGTGCACATGTGCTGCATTTGCTGCATGCATGGCGTGTGTGGCGTGTGTGGCGTGTGTGGCATGTGTGGCATGTGTGGCATGTGTGGCATGTGTGGCATGTGTGGCATGTGTGGCATGTGTGGCATGTGTGGCATGTGTGGCACTGACATGGCAGCGCACAGGTGGAGCAAGGAGACACCCACGGCCACCACAGCGCTGCTCAAGTTCAGCCCGCATGCCGACCCCGCTGTGAGCCCATTGCCATAACCCCACATCCCCTCTCACCCTCTCATCCCCTCGTGCCCTCTCACCCTCTCCTAGCCACGCAACCACGCATTGCGCCGTGCGGCGTGCCATAGCTTACCTTGTATGCACCCTTGTCACTCGCATCGCATGTGTGTGCCACACGTGCACTGCAGGCGGAGGGCGGCTACATGTTTGTCTTCTCCTCATTCGCTGACCGCGACAAGGCCAGAGATGTCTACAGTACGTGAACAGTGCCGTGGATGTCTACAACAGCATGTGACTCCATTCCATACCCCTAGCAACTCCTTGTATTCCGTCCCTTATCAATCCCATCCATAACCCCACATCTATCCCCCATCCTCTCCCACCTCTGCATCACCGCAGGCACCTATCAGGCCAAGTACCAGAGCAGCGCCAAGCCCGCCACGTCAGCATCCTCCCCCACCCCCTCCACTCCCCCCACCCCCCCCATCGCCTCCTCGTCTTCCAACTCCGCCTCGCCCCTCCCCTTCCCTCCCGCTGCTACTTCTGCCACCACAGCTGCTGCCGCTGCCGCTGCTGCATCTGCTGCGGCGGCTGCAGCAGCAGCTAGTGGCGTTGCCGGTGCTGGTGGTCTGGCGGCTCTGCCTCTGCCTGGCCTACCCCCCGGGCTGCCCGGCATGCTCCCGGGAATGCTCCCCGGCGAGCTGCTGGACCCCGAGGAGCTGCAGCGGCGGCAGAAGCTGCTGCAGGCCGACGCGTGAGTGGTGGGGTGGCTGGGCGCTCCCCTTGTGCTCACGTGCACTGGGGGGAACTCTCGAGTTATCGCTGCTGTGCTGTTCATGCTGAGTAGCTTGTCTTGTCCCATCATGCTGCATGTGTGAGTGTGCGTGCATGTCTGCATGTGTGTATGTGTGTATGTGTGTATGTGAGTGCGTATTCATGGTGCTGTTGTGTGTGTGCGTGCAATCGCCTTGGTGCGTGCCCCCCCCCCAGCAAGCTGCGGCGCCTGCACCAGGATCTGGTGATGACGGCCGCGCTCACAGAGACCGAGTTCTGGGCCGCCAGGAAGGTGGGCGGGCTCACAGGCGGGGGGAACACACGAAGGGGAGGGGGATGGGAGGGGGGAGGGACAGGAAGATGGGGATAACGAGGGTGTGAAGAGTGGAATGTGTGGGTGCAGAGTTTTATGCTATAACGGGAGCTTCTACGGGAGTGCCTGACGCAGATAGAGCTCTGTAGCTCTGTGGTTCTCTAAGGAGTGAGTTGCCTTTAGGATTGTGTGTTTCACTGAATAGCTTGAGAAAGCTTGGGCACACAAATTGACTAGAATCAAGATTACAAAATTATGGTACACAAGGCAAACACTAGTATTACCCCATTGAACCTCATTGAACACGGAGAGAACGTTCGCACGAGAACGTTGACATAACTACTCTAAGCTGCGCTTAGCCAAGTCAGCAATGACAGGTGAAAATTACAGCACATGCTTAGTTGGTAATTTTTACCCACTCATAAGTAGTTGTTTTAACAGTTTCAGGTGTGAAACTGTCAGATGTTACGCACATTTCCGCCGTTACGAAATGTGCGTCACGTGTTCAATTTCTCAATGTCGCAGGTAGATTTTGCCGTTTTCGGTCCTAATCGATTCAGTGGTTAACTTACGAAATCGCGAATTTCTCGCGATTTCGGAACGCCACCTTCAGCAGAAAATTAAGTCCCCGATTTTCTGTCGAAGGGGTCGCTCGCAGAAGCGAAGTCCGAGATGACTCTCTGCCGCGCTTCTGCCGAATTTCGACTCTGCCAAGGGGGTCGAAAACAGAAGAGATAGCCGAATTGCCTTTCTGCCGAACTTTGGCAGACTGCCGAACTTCGGCAGAACGCAATTCTGCACGAACAGGTTCTTGCGCCACTCTGCCCGAGGTCCTGTTGGAACGCATTTCCGAGAGTCGACTCTGCCGAAAGGATCGCCTACAGAAATGTCTTCTGCGCAATACTTCGGCAGAGGACAACCTTTCTGCGAATGGCCCTGGTGCCAATTCGGCAGAGGGTCTTGTACACTCTCGACTCTGCCGAGACCGCTTCTACTAAGCACATGTCGATGTAGAAGCCATATGCAGAAAAACCACTCCTCGTCTGCCACTCCGACAGAACCGCTTTCCTACCACCAACGAAACAGCTCCTCTGCCACTTCCCGCAGAGCCTCGCCTTGTCGACAAATCTGCTCTGCGTCGACGGGCCTTTCTGCAGGGCTCGTGCTCGCACACTTCGTTGATATGCCGCTTCAGCAGACTTCTGCAACCTTCGCAGGATCAGGGCTATTCTCAACAGTGGGAGGTAGATGGGAAGGGGCGAGCTGTGCGTGGGAGAACAGCGGTGAGTGGTTGTGAGGCCATCAAGTGATTTCGAGTTCCGTTTGGGTCATGCAGTGCAGAGAGCGTGTTGAGGGGTAATAGGGTGGAAGGGGACACGTGCAGGTGGACGCGCAGATTCACAGCCGGGGGCTCCCGGCAATTCCGATTTCCGTTTCTGACATGCAGAGAGCATGTTCTGGGGTACTAGGGTGGAAGGGGATACGTGCACCTGGACGAGCAGATTCACAGCCGGGGGTAATCCGGTGGTGGGGTTCACAGCTGCGGGTTGGCGGGGTTCCCAGCTGGGGCTTATAGGGTGGCGGGGTTCACAGCTGGGGGTTATAGGGTGGCAGGGTTCACAGCTGGGGGTTATAAGGTAGCGGGGTTCACAGCTGGGGGTTATAGGGTGGCGGGGTTCACAGCTGGGGGTTATAGGGTGGCGGGGTTCACAGGTGGGGGTTATAGGGTGGGGGGTTTACAGCCGCCTCGCTTTGCACCGCTTCACTCCCCTCCCCAAACCCCCCTCCCCAACCCCCCCTCCCCTGGGCGTGCGTGCACGTGTGTGCGCTCAGAGCGTGGAGGAGGAGCGGCGCAAGCGGAAGCAGCGTGTGGGCGTGGCGAGTGCCATGCTGGCCGATGTCAGAGGCGTCACTGATGGCAGGGTGGGTGCCATGCTGCACGTGCACGGGTCACGGATGACAGGGTGGGTCACAGACAGCAGGGTGGGTCACAGACAGCAGGGTGGATCACAGTCTCACAGACAGCAGGGTGGGTCACAGACAGCAGGGTGGGTCACAGTCTCACAGACAGCAGGGTGGGTCATAGACAGCAGGGTGGGTCACAGTCTCACAGACAGCATGGTGGGTCACAGACAGCTAGGCTTGAGCATCTACCCGACCCGACCCGACCCGACCCGACTTGGCTGACCCGTGGTCGGGTTCGGGTCGGGTCGGGTCGGGTCAAGGTCGGGTCGACCCTAGGATTCTTCCAACCCGACCCGACAAAAACAGGTCGGGTCATACCTGACCCGCGGTCGGGTCGGGTCGACCCGACCCGACCACGGGTACGGCGACCCGTCCTTTTTTAAAGGGCATCCAGAGCAGCCTAAGTTATAATGACTTATGCAGCGACTACAAGCTTCTTTCCTCCTAATTTCAAGATCCGCTACGTGTTCCTCGTGTTTGGGGGTGTTGGCGAAAATCGTTGGTTGGGGGGTGCTTACAAGATTTTAGTTGGTTTGGGGTGTTGACGAAAATTCGAGTGGTTTAGAGGCGTTGGCGAAATTCGAGTGGGTTGGGGGTGTTGGCGAAAATTCGTGTGGGATGAGGGTGCTGGCGAAAATTCGCGTGGGATGAGGGTGCTGGCGAAAATTCGTGTGGGATGAGGGTGCTGGCGAAAATTCGTGTGGGATGAGGGTGCTGGTGAAAATTCGCTTGGGTTGGAGGTGTTCGCGATTTTCAAAGTTGAGTAGGGTGTGTGCTGAGTCGATTCCATCCAAAAGATCTAGATCAGCCTAAACCCCTTGGGCAATCTCTTACCCTAAGGGAGGAAACACTAGTTCTAGCTGAAATAGCCGTCTGTTTTTGCAAGGAACTAGGTAGGATGTTGACTTTGGCTAGGGCGAAGCTTAGCAAGGAAGTTTAGGGTTGAAATTTCGACCAAATGGTCGAAATTTCATATCTGCGCGATTTTGGTCGCGCAGATCCCGTCAGGTCGACGCGCAACCCGACTTCGGGTCGGGTTGACCCGTACCCGACACCGTCTAGAAAAAACCTAACCCGTCGGATCGGGTTTTCCCGTCGGGAATACCGACCCGACCCGTCAATAAGTCGGGTTCGGGTTGGGTTACCCGACCCGACCCGACCCTTTGCTCAAGCCTACAGACAGCAGGGTGGGTCACAGTCTCACAGACAGCAGGGTGGGTCACAGACGGCAGGGTGGGTCACAGACGGCAGGGTGGGTGACAGACGGCAGGGTGGGTCACAGACGGCAGGGTGGGTGACAGACGGCAGGGTGGGTCACAGACAGCAGGGTGGGTCACGGACGTCAGGGTGGGTTGCATGCGTCGTGTGTGAGTACACTCACTTTCTCTAAAGTGCAGACCAGCCATCGTGAGACACATTACTCTTGATCAACTTGTGAGCATTGTGTGTGTGTGTTTGTGTGTGTGTGTGTTGTGTGTGCTCACACGCGTTGGTCCCCACCCCCAGAGCAACACCATCACCTTCAACCTCACGCCGCAGATCATCCAACAGGTCAGCTGCACACCGGCCATCGCCCTCATATGTGCGCGCTCCCGGTCCTCCAAGCTCGCCTGCTGCTCTCTTGCTGCCCTCAGTCCCCATGATTGCCAGCGCCTATCGTGTACGCCGTTCGTTACAGCGCCATCCCCTGTCTTTCCCTTGCTTGTGTTGTTTGTGCATGTGCGTTCGTGCCTGCCCTACTCTGCTCACCCCACCTGCTCACCCCACCCGCTCATCGCACCCGCTTGCCCCTGGCGCGCCAGATATTCGCGGAGAAGCCAGCGGTGCACCGCGCTTTCATGGAGCTCGTGCCAGCTAGGGTGGGTGCTAGGTAGGGTGGGTGGCGAGTGGGGGTGGGGCTGGGTGCAGGGAGGGCAGGCAGGGCGGGAGGGCAGGTAGGGTGGGAGACAGGCAGGCAGGGTGGGTGAGCTCCAGTTGATGCCAATCTGTTTTCCGCATCTCGCGCTCACGTCTTCTCTTCTCCCTGCGCCTCCCACAATCCGGTGTGCCACGCATATTGGCATTCCTTGCCCTCTTCTTCAACCCTCCTAACACTCTCCCCCCCCTCCCCCCCCCAACCCCCCGTCCTGCAGATGTCGGAGAGGGATTTGTGGACCAAGTACTGCTGTGCCGAGTTCCGCTACCCTTCTCACCTCCTCTCCTCCCCCTCTTCCCCTCTGCCCCCCATTGCTCCCCACCCTCCAGATGCCGGAGAAGGACTTTTGGACCAAGTACTACCGCGCGGAGTTCCTCTTCCGCACCAAGAACGTGGCGGCGGCGGAGGCGGAGGCGGCGGATGACGAGGAGCTCGCCCTGTTCGTGCGCGACGACGAGCAGCTCAGGGTGGACGCCAGGCGCAAGGTGGGCGTTGGTGGGGGCTGCTGCGCGATGCTGAGCGCTGGTGAGCGCTGGTGAGCGCTACACCAAGCGTTTCAAGAATTTGGTGTCACTGTGAGAGGCAGAGGCGTCGGGCGATGAGCATCTGGCCGTGTGAGGGGCGATGAGCACCTGGCCGTGTGCGCGAGGGACGATGAGCACCTGGTCGTGAGCATTCGGGGGGATGAGCACCTGGCCGTGTGCGTGAGGGGTGATGAGCACCTGGCCGTGTGTGTGAGGGGCGATGAGCACCTGGCCGTGTGCGTGAGGGGCGATGAGAACCTGGCCGTGTGCGTGAGGGCGATGAGCACCTGGCCGTGTGCGTGGGGGGCGATGAGCACCTGGCCGTGTGCGTGAGGGCGATGAGCACCTGGCCGTGTGCGTGAGGGGCGATGCGCACCTGGCCGTGTGCGTGAGGGACGATGAGTGAGAGAATTAACATTAGAGAGAAAGAATTGGACTAGATTGAGAGCCAAGAGGCTCTATAGTACAAACAACCAAGGAGGAAAAGAAAGGTTGGAAGGGAAGCCACTGCTATTGGCTACAATAGTGGCCAACGGGAGAGGTAGCTTGGAGGGGAGGCAACCCCATAGTGTGGTAGTTGCTGATTGGTGGAGCCTTGGGACCATTTGGTTGGAAAGTGCCAACCAAAGGACCAAGGCCAAATCCAATCTTGACCAACCCGAAGTGTGGTTGGTGAACCCAACAACAACCCCCCAATAACTTAAATGTCTACACCCCCTATTCTAGTTATGCATGTTGTATATGAGTATAGATTACAACACAACCCCCCAACATGGAGAAGACTAGAAGCCATGAATCAAGAGGAGGAAGGGGTGACAGGAGGGGTGAGGCCAAGGAGGCGGAGGAGGGAGGCGTGGGGGGCGAGGGGGAGAGCATTGGTGAAGATATCGGCAAGATTGGCAGCAGAGTCAATCTTGCCCATCTGGAGGTGGCCGTCCTGAACGAGCTCGTGAATGAAGTAGTGGCGAAGCTCTATGTGCTTCGAGCGCCCATGGAACATCGCATCCTTCGTGAGGTGGATGGTGCTGGCGTTGTCGTACCAGATGGTGGGACAGCGCTGAGGGGCACCAAGCTCCTCAAGAAGGAACGGGAGCCAACGGGCCTCCTGAGCGGCCATAGTGGCGGCGTACAGCTCCGCTTCGCAGGAGGAGAGAGCGATGGCGGAGGAGCGGGTGGAACGCCAGCTGATGAGGCCGCTGCCGAGAGAAAAGCCATAGCCCTGGGAGGAGCGGCGGTCGGGCCGAGAGTCGGCCCAAGAAGAATAAGGGTAGCCGGTGAGGAGGGGAGGGGAGGGGCCACCAAGGGTAAGGACATAGTCCTTGGTCCCTCGGAGATAGCGGAGGACGCGTTTGGCCGCCTGCCAGTGGGTGGCATTGTGCTTGCCGGTACCAACAAAGCGGGCCAAGACGCTGATGGGGTATGCCAGGTCAAGGCGAGTGGAGACCATGGCGTACATGAGGGAGCCGATGAGCTGATGAGCTCAGGGGTGAGGGGAGGAGGAGGGGGAGGTGGGAGGGCACCTAGGACTGCATTGCGGGATCTGGTGTGGGGATACCAGGTGAGGATGGAACGAGCGGGAGGCAGGAGAGGAGGGGGCGGGGGGGGGTGGGGGGAGGGGGGCGGAGGGGCGGAAGGGGCGGAAGGGGAGGAGTGGGCAGGAGAGGTAGGTGGGAAGAGAGGGTCAGGATCAAAGATGTCACCTGAGGAAGGAGGAGCACTAGGGGCTGAGGAGGCAGGGGGGGGCGGAGGTGGGGGGGGGGGCGGAGGTGGGGGGGGGGGGCGGAGGTGGAAGGGGGGGGAGAATGGGAGGGGGAGGGAGAAGAGGGGGGGGGGCAGTGTTAGACCAGGTAAGGGACCTGGGAGTGGGAGTGAGGGGGTGAGTGGCGAGAGGGGAGGAATAGTAGGGTGTTGAGGTAGTCCTTGGTCATCCCACGACCACATCCCAACTGCGGAGGAAACGACTTGAGGGAGGATGGAGGAAGAGGTAGTCAGGGGAGGAGGGGTTATGACCAAGGAATATGCAGGGGAGAGTGCGGGAGGCGAGCTTGCCCATTGCGCGGGGGCGATCCGAGGGGTGAATGAGAACATACGCCTTGGAGCCCCACACACGAAGGGAGGAGACATCAGTCTTTGTCTGACGTCCAGAGCTCGGTGGGAGTGGTGGAGGGGAGGATGGGGTGAGGGTACAGGTTAGTGAGGAGGGTGGTGTGAAGGAGGGCATAGCCCCACAGAGAAGGGGGGCATGAGGCATGAACGGGAAGACACGGAGCAATCTTGGTGATCTCCCGAACACGACTCTCAGCCGCACCATTCTGCAGGGGGGAGTGGGGAAGGGTGTGAGACTGACGAATGCCATGGGACTCACAATAGGAGGCTACCTGGCGGTTAAGGAATTCGCCACCGCCATCGGAGTGAAGGCGGCAGACAGGGCGGCCAAAGTGAGTGCTAGCCTGCTCGAGTCAGGCGATGATCGCAGCCGGAGCGTCCCCCTTCGAGCGGAGAAGGGAGACGGAGGAATACCAACTGTGATCATCGACCAGGACGAGCATGTAGCGATGGCCCTGGCGGTAGGGGGGGGGGGGTTGGGGTCCCAAAGGTCCATGTGAACAAGGTCAAGCGGCTAACGGCAGCAGAGGGGGAACTCCGATGGGGAAGCTGCTTGAGCTTGCTCTGGACACAGATGGAGCAAGGAGGAGCAGGGGAGGAAGGGAGGGGGTATACATGGGCATATCGCATCTCATTTTATCGCATTTTGCGATTGCGATTTTTATTTTTTATTTATAAAAATTCCAGCGATGTGATGCAATAATATCGCGCGATTTTTGCGATCTCGTGCATTTATCGCGTTTTTTTCGGCGCGATGAAACGCGATATGCGATATTAAAATGTCGCGCGCCATACATTCGCATATCGCGTCGCGGAATCGCGCCAGAAAGGGGGGGGAACAGGGGCGCGGGTAGACATGGGCATGAGCCGAGCCTGGCTCGGCTCGGCTCGTCCAGGGGTCGAGCCGAGCCGGCTCGCCGTCGAGCCTGGCTCGGCTCGAGTCGAGCCGGGCACCAAACATGCCTGGCTCGGCTCGCATTTCTGTGGGCGAGCCAGGGCTGGCTCGACGGCGAGCCGGCTCGGCTCGACTCGCCTAGCATGCGCTTAAGCCAACAGTAGTGTGGGTGGAGCCTATGCAAGCGCGCGTTGTTAAGAGTGGCGCGGGCTGCTTAAGATTTCTTGCGCGAACTAACCTAATGAGATACTCCTTGGTGCGCAAAATTCTAGGGTTCGCGAAATTGACGGGAAGTGGATTGTGAGGAGGAAGGAGGGTGCAAGAGGTTAGGTTGGAAGTTGTAGATGCAGTAGTGTGCAGTGCGGTTGAGCGGGGCAAAAGGGTTGGATGTGTTTTTAGTCGTCAAAGTTTGGGGTTGCGACTGGCTGAATTCGCGAGGTCGCAATGTCGCGGGAAAGAATTCCGCGTCAAACATTTTGGGCGAGCGTTTAGCGTTTACCCTTTAAAGGCAGCGTTTAAACGATAAACGCTGCACCGCTAGAGCGATTTCGGGAACATAGACTAGGATTTGTTGGCGGGAGAGAGAAACGGGAGACACGTTTTGTCGAGGGGGAAATTTACCCTTGAAATCAAGTGGCGAGCCACCTGGCTCGAAATCGAGCCGGGGACGAGCCGGCTCGACCCCGGCTCGACGAGGACATTGTGTACGAGCCGAGTCGAGCCAGATCCCGAAAAGAAAGGCTCGGCTCGTCATTTTGGCGAGCCGAGCCGAGCCGAGCCGGATGTGGCTCGGCTTGTGCCCATGTCTACTCGGCGGGTCGGGTCCGGGTTACCCATGCGGGTATTCAATACCCGGTACCCGAAATGCTACCTGACGTGTCGGGTAGCGGGTACCCGACCCGAAATCGGGTAGCGGTCTACCCGACGGAACCAACGAGACATTAGTCGCGCTGGTAGTAAAAATTCATCAAGTTTCTAGGTTACGTGAGCTGCTAGGTCACTTAGAGCATTGTAGATTGGCAGGGGTTGGGTTTCGTAGATACAGATGCATTCAGAGTGGTTGAATTGGGGGGAATTGGTTGGAAGTCAAACCGATCGAATTTCCCCAATCTAATTTGCAACCCAACCTGAATCTAGCCAACCGCACAGCACCACATTGGTTGGAGTTCCAACCAATTGACTCTGGTGGTCAAAGAATCAAACCCCCAGAAACTGCACACAACCCCATCCCAACTAGAAAACCCAACCAACTCCCCACTCAAGCCCCACTCACGAGTCACGACCCACTCACCACACCAGAACTGTTAAAGATTTGGAGCACCTCATACTCCCTCCCGCAACTCACGTTTTTTGAAGCACTATCTAGGTCGTAGGCTTAGTAGCCCAACAGGGTAGAAAAACGCGGGTAATACTACCCGCTTTTCAAGGAAACCGGGTCGGGTATACCCGGACCCGCCAGGCGGGTATTAAATTACCCGCCCCCAAATCCCGGGTCCGGGTATTGGTCCTGGGCATGTTACCCGACCCGTACCCGACCCGAAGTCAGGTATAGCAAATCCGGGTCGGGTAAATATCCGGTTTTGCTCATGCCTATCGCATCGCATCGCATTTTAACCATGTCTAGGAGGGGGGGAAGGGTGAGAGGGAGACCTCCAAGGAGACCTGAGGCGACGGTGGAGCGTAGAGTGGCAAAGTTTGGATGACCAAGCCTGTGGTGGAGGAGGACTGTAGGATGGGAGAGAGACCGACAGGAACAGGTAGACTCAGGGGGAAGGGGGGGAATGGTTGGGTTCGTAGGGGGGGGGATGTGAAAGGGGGTAAGGGAGCGGGATACTGTGTGGGCTGAGTGGAGGGGGGGGACCTTGAGAGTATACAGGCGTGAGCGAGGGCAAAAGGGAAAGCGGGAGAGGATACGACCAGTGGGGTGATACAGGAGGCAATGGTTTGCGCGACCTGGGAAGACTGTAGTGATACCAGCTTGCTGCATGGATCTTTGGGAAAAGAGGTTAGTACGAAGAGAAGGGATGTGAAGACCAGTGATGGTACCTGAGGGGAAGAGGGGACAGGGGAGGGTGGAGGTGTGCCGGCAGGGGATGGAGAAACTGGTGTCAGCACCAAGGAGGAAAGTTGGAACGAGGAGGGGATTAAGAGTACCAGCGTCGCGGAGGGCTGTCTCAGTGGCTCCACTGTCAAGGACGAACTCCAGGGTGGAGGGAGGTAGAGGCGAGTGAGGAGGTGGGGGGACGGAGTACTGAAACACATTCTCATTAATAGCAGCAGAATACATGGAAGGAGTAGGAGGGTCAGCCTGACTAAGCATGCCAACAAAGCTAGAAGAAGGGAAGGGGGTGGTCACACTGCTAGCAGCAGAGGGCGCGGGGGAGGCGCCGGAGAGATGCGCGGCTGAGGCAGCACTCCCTGCAGTCCAAGCGCGGAAGTACTGCTTGTGAGATACCATGGGAGGAGGAGCTAGTGGCAGCTGCGACTAGAGGTGAAGCTGCTGCTGGAGCTACTGAACCTGCTGCTGCAGTTGAGAGAGAAGATTCTGCTGCCCCTGCTGCTGCTGATGCACCCCTTGCTACTGCTGCACCCCTGGCTGCTGCTTCTGCGGCTGCTGAAGTAGGGGAGAGGCAATGGCTTGGTGAGCCTGGGCGGAGGAATAGGGCTGGTAGAGGGGACTAGTACGCACCTCCTGGGGAGTGGGGCGAGGAGTGAGGGAGGACCAGCGAGGAGGAGTGCCGGAATTGCCACGGGCAAACCACTCATCACTGAGTGCCTTGAAGGACGTCGCAGTGGAATGAGTGGTCTGGCCGCAGCGCTGACCCTGAGTTGGGCCATAGAAGAGGGAGATACTAGCAGGGAGGGAAGGCCGCTGCTGCACCACGGCCTGCACCACCACGCCCAGAACCACCACGACCCAGAGCTCCATTGCGACTACTGCCAGGCCCACCCCCGCGCCCACCCCTGCTGCTGCGCGGCTCAGCGACTGCGGCGGAGGGTGAGGAATGGCGTAAGAGATCGGCCTCAGTGGTGATGATCCACTGAGCAACCTGAGCTGGGGTATCGTGCTTGGAAAGGAGCTGCATGTAGGCGAGCTTGTGGGCGTCGAAGGCAGGAGTCAGGCCCTCAAGGAGGTGGCAGCACAACACGGGATCCAGATACGGCACGCCGAGAGCAGCGAGGCGGCGGGCGAGGTCGAGCACACGACGAGTGAATGCAGCTGCGCCGGTGGAGGAATCCATGGTCAGGGACCCAAACTCCTTGATGAGGGCATAGAGGGTGGCAATGTCTTCCCGATCATAAAGATTGGTGAGGAGCTGCCAGAGGTGGGAGGAGGAGGTGGGAGCAAGCTCCCGCTTGAGGGAGGAGGGGTAATGCTAGGCGGTGATGTTGGTAATGTACAGCTGCTGACGGGTGGAGTAGGTAGCGAGCTCCGCCTGGTGCGCAGTGTAGGCGGCGGATGGAGCATCGAACTTGGTCTTCTCAGTCTCATAGGTCAGCTGCAGGCGGAGGTGCTCCGTGATGCTGCTGCGATACGTGCGGATGGCGGTCTCCGAGCTCTGCGGGTCGCTGACGTCCGGGGCGAAGGTGGGCGGATCGTCAGGGGACTCGAGAGAATCACCAGGATGGTCGGGTGCAGGGCCCTCAGGAGCGACGGGCGCAACAGGCTGAAGGCCGCGCTCCTCCATGAAAACAACAGCTTTGAGATTGAAGCCGCTGACTGTCACGGAGGAGAGGGAGACGGCGATGGAGTGGGCATAGGAATGCCAGTTTGCAGCAGTGTTGTCCGGCAGCAGCTCAAGGGCATTCACGGTGGCAAGGTCCACGGAAGAATCCGAGGACGCCATGCTGGAGGGAAGGAAGCAGGGGAAAGGGGGCAGGAAGGAGGGAGGAGGAGGAGGGGGGGGAAGAGGAGGAGGGAGGAGAAGGAAGGGGGGGGAGAGGAGGAGGAGGGAGGAGGAGAAAGGAACAGGTGCACGAAGCGCAGCTCTTAAGTCGCCGTAAGAGCGGAGGGGAGCGCAGACGGTTAGCGCAAGGGCGGACGCGGCATGGGGCGATGCGACCGGGGGAGACAGCGGAGGAACGCGACGGGAGGAGCCTGCGGTGGGGGGGGGGTGGGGGTTGATGCGACGAGAGAAATGCTCGACGCGAGGAGCGCGACGGGAAGAGCGCGACGGGAGCAGCGCGCGACGAGAGCAGCGCGCGACGGGGGCAGCGCGACGGGAGCAGTGCGACGGGAGCAGTGCGCAACGGAAGCAGCATGCGACGAGAGGAGCGCGCAACTGGAGGAGCGCGCGACTGGAGGAGCGCGACGGGAGGAGCACGACGGGAGGAGCGCGCGACTGGAGGAGTGCGACGGGAAGAGCGCGACGGGAGGAGCGCGACGGGAGGAGCGCGCCGGGGCCAGCGCATGACGAGAGCAGCGCACTACGGGAGCAGCGCGACGGGAAAAGCGCGTGACTGGAGGAGCGCGCCGAGAGGAACGCCCGACGGGAACAGTGCAACGGGAGCAGCGCGCGACGGGAGGGGCTTGCCGGGAGGAGCGCGTGGGGAGCAGCGCTTCGGAAGGAGCGCTACGGGAGGAGTGCTACCGGAGGAGCGCGCGAGGAGGAACGCGGTGCGAGGAGCGCGAGGCGGAAGCGCGAGAGGAGGCGATGCCAGGTGGGACAGCCGGGTAGCCTGAGGGCGGGTCAGGGCTGGAGAGCGAGGAGGGGAGGACGGACTAGGCCGTGCTAGTTAGGACCGACCGGGTGGCGTGAGCCATTGGCTCTGAATACCATGAGAGAGGTAACATTAGAGAGAAAGAATTGGACTAGATTGAGATCCAAGAGGCTCTATAGCTATGTTGGCATAAATGCACGATTCCAGGCTTCAAATACACTCGAAAAACGCCTGCCCGGGCAGGCGGGAAATTTGGCCCGGGCAGGGGACGCCATGCTAGGGGCTCGAAGTCAGGTAGCTTAGGTGCTGGAAGGAAGAACGTAAGAGTACTAGATCGTCAATGCATGTAAGGTGAGCGAATTTCTCCTCTACAGATAGATCTGGATCAAGCGGGGGGGTAATGGGTTGGGATTTTCAACACGTTGGGAAAAGGATGGGAGGGATTGATGAGTTATCGAGTCGCTATGAAAAGTTTCGCGACTGCACGACGACGAATTTGCGACGCGCGAAACGTGTTGGCGTTTCGCGACGCGCGGCGAAATGTGTTTTATATTCGCGACTTTGTGGGTTTTTTTTGCGTTTTTTTGTTCTGGGCAGCCCAAAAAATTCCAAGGTGCGTTCGAGCGTTTTGATGCGTTTTTGCGTATTGCGTTTAAACGCAAAACGCAAACTCACAAAAGCGTTTTTGTCAACACTGCTCTATAGTGCAACCAAGGAGGAAAAGAAAGGTTGGAAGGGAAGCCACTGCTATTTGCTACAATAGTGGCCAATGGGAGAGGTAGCTTGGAGGGGAGGCAACCCCAAAGTGTGGTAGTTGCTGATTGGTGGAGCCTTGAGACCATTTGGTTGGAAAGTGCCAACCAAAGGATCAAGGCCAAATCCAATCTCGACCAACCCGAAGTGTGGTTGGTGAACCCAACAACAACCCCCCAATAACTTAAATGTCTACACCCCCTATTCTAGTCATGCATGTTGTATATAAGTATAGATTACAACAATGAGCACCTGGCCGTGTGCGTGAGGGGTGATGAGCAACTGGCCGTGTGCGTGAGGGGCGATGAGGACCTGTCCGTGTGAGCACCTGGCCGTGTGCGTGAGGGGTGATGAGCAACTGGCCGTGTGCGTGAGGGGCGATGAGGACCTGTCCGTGTGAGCACCTGGCCGTGTGCGTGAGGAGCGATGAGCACCTGGCCGTGTGCGTGAGGGGCAATGAGCACCTGGCCGTGTGCGTGAGGGGCGATGAGCACCTGCATGAGGAGGCATGGAGGAGGATGGGTGCTGTTCTCCCTACTTCTCACTATCCCCATTTTACCCCCAATCACTCCTTTCCTCTCCCGCTTCCAGTCCCCCGCATCGACCCGTGCGAAAAATTTCGCTCCCATTCCCCCTCTGTCTTCTCCCCTCTCCCTCCCCCCTTCCATTCTCCCTCCCCCTTTCCATTCTCCCTCCCCCTTTCCATTCTTCCTCCCCCTTTCCATTCTCCTTCCCCCTTTCCATTCTCCCTCCCCCTTTCCATTCTCCCCTTCTCAATTTCGTTGGCCTCGTCTCCTCCTCTAAGCATGTACTCTTCCTCTACGCCTCCTACTTACCTCCGTGTTCTCATATCCTTCTCTTCACTCTCCTCCCTTATTCCTCTCCCCCGCTTCTCTCCCTTCCCTCCCCCTCGTGATCCCATGCACACCGGTTCACTCACGGACAACTGCCCTTCCTCCCTTCCCTCCCCTCCCCTCTCTCCCATCTCCATCCCTCCAGATGCAGCGTGTGCCCCCAAGCTCAACTTGCTTGCCCCGAGGTGCCTCAAATACTGAAATTCGCCCTTCCCTTTCTCCCCCCCCTCCTGCCCTCCCTCCTGCCTGCTCTCCCTGTCCTTCTCCCCCCCAGGTGCAGCGCGTGGACCCCACGCTCAACGTTCTGGCCACCGCAGGCGATGACTACTCCAACCTGCAGGTGCCTATGGGGATGGAGTGAGGGCATGGGGGGATGGAGTGAGGGCATGGGGGATGGAGTGAGGGCATGGGGGATGGAGTGAGGGCATGGGGGATGGAGTGAGGGCATGGGGGATGGAGTGAGGGCATGGGGGATGGAGTGAGAGCATGGGGGATGGAGTGAGGGCATGGGGGATGGAGTGAGGGTATGGGGGATGCAGTGAGGGCATGGGGGATGGAGTGAGGGCATGGGGGATGGAGTGAGAGCATGGGGGATGGAGTGAGGGCATGGGGGATGGAGTGAGGGCATGGGGGATGCAGTGAGGGCATGGGGGATGGAGTGAGGGCATGGGGGATGGAGTGAGAGCATGGGGGATGGAGTGAGAGCATGGGGGATGGAGTGAGGGCATGGGGGATGGAGTGAGAGCATGGGGGATGGAGTGAGGGCATGGGGGATGGAGTGAGAGCATGGGGGATGGAGTGAGGGCATGGGGGATGGAGTGAGGGCATGGGGGATGGAGTGAGGGCATGGGGGATGGAGTGAGAGCATGGGGGATGGAGTGCGAGCATGGGGGATGGAGTGAGAGCATGGGGGATGGAGTGAGGGCATGGGGGATGGAGTGAGAGCATGGGGGATGGAGTGAGAGCATGGGGGATGGAGTGAGGGCATGGGGGATGGAGTGAGGGCATGGAGTAAGGGGCCCAAGCGAGGTTGTTCCATAGGGTCACTTGCGTGCCTTACCCCTGCGTGCCCTACCCTACCCCTGCGTGCCCTACCCTACCCCTGCGTGCCCTACCCCTGCGTGCCCATTGCCTCGCCCCTGTCTCTCTCCCCCCCCCACCTCCCATCAGGGCCATGGCATTCTGAGGGACGGGCGCAAGGAGGCAAGCGCAGTGGAAGGCGAGGGGGAGGGGGAGGGCGCAGCAGGGCAGGAGGGGGCAGGTGGAGGGGGGCGCATGGCGAGCAGTGGCAGCATTGGCAGCGATGGGGGTGGGGGGGCGCGGCTGCGCATGCAGCGCACGATTTTCCGAGACATCAACCAGCACGCCGCTGTGGTGCTGCAGGGCCGCATTCTCGGCAAGTCTCACCTCACCTCCTGCCGCTCTCCATCTCTCCAGCTCCTCTCCTCCACTCCTTCCTTACCCACTCCATCTCGTGCAATGCCCCCTCCCCCTCTTCGCTGGACGCCACTCCCCTTGTTTGTGCGTCGGAGCAGCAGTGCAGCGTGGGGTGGACACCTGACTGGTGCCGCCCTCTCCCATGCACGCCCGCCCTTTTCCTCTTCTGCCTCTCCGCCTCCTGTCCCCGGCCGCCCCCTCTCCTCTCCCCTGTTGGCCGTGCTCGTTTCTGTGCTGCTGCGTGGCAGATGAGGACGTGGCGGATACGCGCGAGCTGGCCACAGCGGTGGCGGAGGCCAACGCGCAGCGGGCAGGTGGGGGAGGGGTGACAAGGGGGGATCGGAATGGGCGAGGGAAGCGGATGGGGTGGGAGGAGAGGGATGGCGAGGAAAATGCAATGAAATGGGTGCAAGGGAGTGGGAAGCGGTGAGGGACAAAGATGGGAGGGGGGTGGGAGGGGGGGGAAGCGGGGAACAGATGGCAGGGGCATCCCGCCTGAGGGTCAGTGGCGGGTGGCTCAGTTGTGCGCAGTGCGCTGTGCGCTGTGTGCTGCGTGTGGTTGCCTGGCGTGTGAATGGTGCGGGATGGTGCGTGCCGTTGCACACAACTCAGTTTGGGCTTACTCTCATCACGCACTTGTGTTTGAAAGCCCGGGCTTCCTCACTGCCATTGAAACAAATCGCGGCCAGCTGGCGGCTATGACAGTTGGCCAAACGCAATCCCAATGCTCCTGTCCCACTCATCCCACCAGGCGTGCCGGCAGAGCAAGCCCCCGAGGAGGAGTGGCGGCGGGCGCGGGCGCGCAACATGCCCGTCATGGCGGACCTCCGAGGGGACGCACCGCCTGCTGTCATCCCACTCAGCATCCAGGCACGTGCCGTGTCGCATCCAGGCATGTGCCGTGTCGCATCCAGGCATGTGCCGTGTCGCATCCAGGCATGTGCCGTGTCGCATCCAGGCATGTGCCGTGTCGCATCCAGGCATGTGCCGTGTCGCATCCAGGCATGTGCCGTGTCGCATCCAGGCATGTGCCGTGTCGCATCCAGGCATGTGCCGTGTCGCATCCAGGCATGTGCCGTGTCGCATCCAGGCATGTGCCGTGTCGCATCCAGGCATGTGCCGTGTCGCATCCAGGCATGTGCCATGTCGCATCCAGGCATGTGCCGTGTCGCATCCAGGCATGTGCCGTGTCGCATCCAGGCATGGGCCGTGTCGCATCCAGGCATGTGCCGTGTCGCATCCAGGCACGTACCGCTTTACTGTGCCGCCCAGCATACGGGCACGTGGCACGTGGCATGCAGCGAGCAGCGCATGAGCAGCCCCTCGTTGCCTGCATCACCTTGCTCTCGTTCCACACCCTGTGCTCACCTGCCCTCTCCCTTGAACGCCTCATCCTTTCATCCCTGGCCTGTCATCACTATCACCATTCTCCCTCAATCGCTCGTCACAGGATCCGCGCAAGTACTTCGATGCCGCCACACAGAGAGCCACAGCGGACCACACGCAGCAGCAGCAGCAGCAGCAGACGGGGCAGGCAGGCGCGTCCGATGCGGCAGATGCCATGGATCTGGACGAGCCTGCTGCTGGCACGCACGCCACGCTGGCAGCCTCCCTGGCTGCGTTTGGCAGCGAGCTGGCAGCGGCAGTGGGGCGGGGTGGAGGGAGCAGCAGAGAGCAGTCACGGAGGGGTGGGAGGGGCAAGGGAGGGGCGGCAGCGGCAGTGATGGCGCCTGCTGCTGCTGCTCAGGTGACTGCCTGGAGGGTGGGTGCTGGTGTGTTATGCTTTCCAGAGGGGTGGCATGGGTGCACATGGCTTGTCACTGGCTTTTCTTGCGGCCACGTCATCCATGCTGCTCCCTCTACTCTCTTCACCACCTCAACCTTTCCGTGCCAGGCCTCTTCCCCTTCGTCCTGTCCATCTCCTTCTCCCCTCTGCCTCACTCCCTCTGGTATATGACCACCAACACGTGTTGACGTTCAGGCAGCAGGTGCCGGCAGGGCGAGGGAGAGCCCCCGCATTCTTGTCCGCCTCCCGCTCACCCTTACCCCCTTGCCTTCCCACCCTTCTTTTGACTTCCGTCTTCCCCTCCTCTTACCACAAGGTGGTGGAGTTTGCGCGGCAGGTGGCGGTGGTGATGCAGGAGCGAGCAACTCATGTTCACCATTCTATCTGTCTTCCTCCCTCGCCTTTGCACCCTGCGTCCCTCGCCCGTCTTCTCAGGAGGTGGTGGAGTTTGGCCGGCAGGTGGCGGTGGCCCGTCAGGGCATAGGGGAGGCGGCCGAGCAGTCGCTGCTGAAGCAGCTGCCAGAGTCACTAAGAGCCGCGCTGCTCGCTGTGAGTTATTCCCCACGCTTCTGTTGAGGCGTGGCTGGAAGCACTCCTAGAGGCGCGCTGCTCGCTGTGGGCCGCCCTTTCCCTCCCCTCCCCCCCTTCACTGTGCCACATGGCTAACGGATTTTGAATCATCTCACAACCGGCCTGGTGACACTTTGAGGCGTGTACAGGAGAAAGCATGCAGAGGCATGGCAGGCACAGCACAATGCTGTGCAAGCAACACCCATGCAGCCTTGTGTTCTCGCACACCCACCTTTCCATGCCATGCCCCATCGCCCCCCATGCCCCACCATCCCACCCATGCCCCCCCCATGCAGCACGGCGAGGCGGTGAAGGAGCTGCTGTCGCACTTCTGGGCCACCTACCCCGTCACCAGCGCCGCCCTGCTCGCCAAGGTGCGCGCTGCTCCTGCCCGTGCTCTTGCTGCCTTTGCTTGTCCGTACCCTTTCTATCCCCACTCGTCCCCATCTGAACCCATCCATCCCCATGTAGGGATGGGCAGGGGGCGAGTCGAGTAAAACTTGCCTCGAGTAATTATGACTCGCCTCCCTTTATTGGCGAGTCGAGCAATACTTGAGTCGAGCTTTTTTCTCAAGGGCCCGACTCGTTTACTCGTTTTTTAGACGAGTAAAATTTTTACTCGGGGCGAGTAGTTTTTACTCGCCCTGAGGCAAGCATTACTTGACTCGGGCCATTGTTCCCCACTTCCCTTTCTCTCACATTCTGGGAGGGGTGCTTTTAGGGGGCCAGAGTTGTAAGTCCAGCTGTGCATTGCCATGCAATGCACGTTTTGAGTGTGAACAAGGGCAATGAGGTTGTGACGGGTGCCTATAACCTTTTTTGCAAAGGTCTGCCCTTGAGGTTGGTGTCCAATCACCACGTCCCGTGACCACCACGTGCGGGCAGGTTGGGTCAGGTGCTGCAGAAGGGAAGAGCCTTCTCCGTTCCTTGGCTGGACGGAGAATGCATGTGTGCACTAGATCAATAATTGCAGCAACCAACAAAGACAGTTGCACATTTGTTATGATAAGTTGACGCTGTCACGGGGGTATAAATAACCAACAAAGACAGTCACTGATCAAGTCAGGGAGAGAGATGACATCGAGGGCAAGCAAGGGCTTGTCAAGTGTCGGGGCAAGGGCAAGGCAAGGGCAGCCAGCCAGCCAGGCAAGCAAGTCCCCGACGTCGCCTCTATCACATCCCCTCCTCCACCTCCACCCCCAAGTCCTCCACCTCCTCATCCCCAGTGACTGGCGCGTCGGCGAGCCGCTCGCCGGGGTGCGACGCAATCCATGACTTCAAAGTCATGCAGGCGCGCACACGCTCGGCCCCAAGCCGATGCCGCTTCCATGTGATAAGGTTGCGGCTCTGAGAGAAGACTCTCTCGCTTGCCGCCGACGTAGCGGGGATGGCAAGGTAATCCCTGGCCATAGCCTACAGTCCGGGAAGGTCCGACCTGCGGCGCCAGTAGGCAAGCGGCGATGCCCAGATCGGCTCCAGCGGCTCATCCACATACAGCTGTATCTCGTCCTTGACCTGGGAGGATTGCTGGCTGCGGAGCTGTGTGAGCTGGGCAACCAAACTGTCACCGTCGTCGTCATCTCCCCCGAAACGGCCGGGGACATCGTCACTTCCATCCCCTCCCATCCTCCCCATCCCACCACCCCTCACGACCTCAGCGTTCCCCGCTGCCTCACGGACCTTGATCATGTAGGGCAGCCACTTACTGCGCACCAGATCTAGCACATCAGCCTCCTGCACCTGGTCAACAACAGAGGTGACGAGGGAGCCACGCGGGAGGCTGAAGTAGCCCAGCTTCATGGACGGGTCCAGAAACGTCGCGATGCAGAGCTCATCGCTACTGCTGCAGTAGTACTCCTGCAGTTTGGGCAGAGCCGCACCGATGCACGCAGTGATGAGGGGGGGGGGGGTTCGCGGGGTCCTGCTGCAGCTTGTCCAACCTGCCCATGAGTTCGTTGAACTGCGGCACCACCCGGCTGACGGTAGGATACTGGGACCCTTCGGCGGCCAGAGTGACGGCGTTGAATGGCTTGAGGAAAGCAGCGAGTACCTCAAGCGTCCGCCACTGCTCAGGGCTGAGGCGTAGTTCCGCAAGGCGCCTCGTCTCGCGGGTAGTGGACTGCGGGGCGGGGTGTGTCATGCAATTGGCGGGGGCGGGGTGGGCGCCAATGTGGCGATCCAATGGAGTGTGTCACACTTGTGGGGTTGCGCGTATGGCTGCATGTATGGCTGCATGTCTGGCTGCGTGTACAGCTGCGTGTACGGCTGCATACGGCTACATGTATGGCATCTGAAAAGGCTGGCGGGGGCCAGCGTCACACTTGCTTAAGAACAGCAAATGCACCGCGAAGGAAGGCTAGTTAACTTGCCCAATGGGGAGGAGGCTCACCCCAACGGCGCGGCGGAAGAAGGCATCCAGTGCCTCTGGGAGACGAAGGCCACGTGTGATCATGTTGAAGGTCGACCCCCAACGCACATCCATGTCCTGTCGTAGCTTAAGGACCGGCTGTGTAGGATATTGTCGGCGCTGCTCCTCCTCGAACTGCAGCACCTTCTGGGGCCTGAACCCGATGAAGGTCGCGCATTCGCGCAGAATGCCTAGCGGTTCCTTCACCTCCTCAACCCCCCGCAATACCTGCTGCACTGCAAGATTGCAGATGTGCGCGAGGCAACTGGGGAGGGAGTGGAGGAAGAGAGGGGGAATGGAATCTGGCCGGCTAAGGGCCGGGACCATGTGCTTATTGGTACCCGAGCACGTGGCAGCAGATGGGATTATGTAGGGCAGCATGGCTTAAAACCTTACCGGATGTGCAGGCCAGTGCTGAATAGGCGAGGAAACCTGTCGCCAGGGCCCTGCCTCGACAACCATTGCATTGCAGCAATGTTCGTGGAGGCGTTGTCCGTTGTGACCGCCATGCAACGGCCCACCAGCCCCCAATCCAGAACCACTTCCTCCAGCACCGCCGCCATGACGGCGGCAGTATGCCTGGCTGGAAGCGCAGCGAACTCAAGCGTAGCCTGCCTGAGTTCGAACGCGGTGGTCAGCCAGTGGCCGGTGACCGCCATGTACCCGCGATGGTTCTCGCCCGACCAGATGTCGGTGGTGAAGGACATCGCCCCCCCACCTGCGGCAACTGCCACCTCCAGCTTACTCATGGCGCGGGCTGCACGGGACATGCGGACAAGGCCCCGTGTCATGGCACCGCGCGATGGGATCACACCAGGTGCCCCACACTGGACGTTGGAGGCAGTCATCATGCGGCGGTACTGGTTTGGCGGGGGCAAGGCAGCAAGGGGTCGCGGGTGATGGACGTATTGCTATACGGGGTTTAGCATGTGCTCTGCAGCGTGACGAGGTGGGCGCACACAAGAGGCATGCAACAAGGGCAGAGTGGTGGGGTTGGGTGGTGGGCTTACGGTCGGCCGGTCGACTATGCTGAAAGCCAGATCTGCGTCGACGATGAACTCAATTATCGTCTGCCGCAAGTAGCTCTGGTCAAGGCGAGCCTGCATGTAGCGTGTCATGCTCTGCTGACCTCCCTGCCCCGACCCAGAAGGAGGGAGCAGTGGCCACCAGCCATGGCCATTCCATGCCAGCTTTCCGTCAGGGACCTCCCCAGCATCCCCGTACCCGCCCTCGGGGAATAGTTCGTCGGGCCCCACCTCCCCGCCCTTCCACCTGCGCCCCCATATCTCCCACTGGTGCAAGTGTTTGCGCTGCATGTGCGAACGGCCGGTCGATGTGTTGCTGCCAGCAAAGGAGAGGGCTTTCCCGCAGTTCCGACAGCGCCTCTTATTCCCCCACTCGGTCACCACGTCGAAGCACTTGGCGACCGGGATGTCATCATCATCGGCCGTCTTCGCTCCTTTCGTGGTTCCAGCTGCTGCCTTGCCTGTGGTATTCGGGGGGGTGGGCTTCCCACTCCTCCCCCCCCCAAAACCCGCCTCTCCTCTACCACCAGGAGCTGCCAAGCCACCACCACCAGCCGCACCTCCCTGCTTTCCACGCTTCTCCTTCGCCCTCCCCGTCTCCTTCTCTTTCCCCACCCCCGTATCCTTCTCCGTCACCTTCTCCTTGGCCGTCCCTGTCCCGGATCCCCTTCCACCACCCTTAGAGCCCATGGTTGAAGGTCGGAGGTTGCCATCATCCGCCTCAACCTCCAACCCATCCAAGGCATCCTCATGCTCTTCTTCTTCATCGCCGGGGTGGAAACCCTTCTCTGAATCGTCACCCGACTCGGACGAGCTCTCCTCACTCTCCTCACCCCCCACCTGCTCCCCGTCCGCCCCCTCCTCGGCAACAAGCACCATCGCAAGTGCACCAGCGTCCCCCCCCCCCTTGCCACTCCCAGCCCCATCGGAAACCTCTGGCCTCGAGGGGCCAGCGTTGCCAACACCTGACCCACGGCCGCCTCCCCCCCCCCTCACACCGGCGTGCGCCGCCTTCAACTTTCTGGCAGCCTCAAGCTCTGCCTCGAGTACAGCCTGCTTCAACCGCCGCTGCTCGACGCTGGTAGGCACACCAACGTCCTCCCCTGCCATCTTCGCCACCCCCACAGTGGCGCTTAGAGCCTCCAGCACGCCCCTTGGGAGGCATTCCGGTCAGTTAGAGGAGAGCGTTGAACAGTGCAATGCCCGCTGGTCTCTTGCGTTTTCCTTTAGGACTCAGATCTAGGATTGTTGCAGGCCAAAACTGAAAAGGATCAACAATCCTTGCCACAGCTCTAAGTCGAGGCTAGGTGTAGTTAGACTAACGGATCTAGTTAATGAAGAAAGCACCCATGGCGTTAAATAAACGGATCTGCACTAGGAGACAGATCTAGGATTGTTGCTGGCCAGATCTGTAAAGGACCAACAACCCTTGCGACAACTCTACGTCTCCTAGATCCTAACGGATCTGGTTTAAGAAGAAAGCACCCAAAGCGCTTTGGAAACGGAGCTGCAGTAAAGTAGTGTGTGTCCTAAAACGAAACGCCAGAGCTTGGCCGACTCTGAAATAATGAACTGGCCAAGTCAAAATTCTGAGTTTTGTGCCAGCGCACCCGAGTTGCGATGGCACAAAATTGACGCGAGCCCAATTTTTGCTCGCGAGCAATTTCTGCTCGCGAGCAAAAACAGTGCAGGCAAGTAATTGTTACTCGCGAGTAAAAATTACTCGCCTGGACGAGGCGAGTAACATTCGAGTACTCGAATGCTCGACGAGTAAACTCGACTCGACTCGGGGCGAGCAATTTCCAGAGGAGGTTGACTCGTTACTCGGGAAAAACGACTCGAGCAAACGAGTCGAGTTTTTACTCGCCTCGATTGCCCATGCTTATCCCCATGTCACCGCACTCGTCCCCATCTGAACCCATCCATCCCCATGTCACCCCTC